TATTTGGTTTTTTATTTGGTTTTTTATTTGGTTTTTTATTTGGTTTTTTATTTGGTTTTTTATTTGGTTTTTTATTTGGTTTTTTATTTGGTTTTCATTTATCTGTTATTTTATATCAGTTTTATCTCTATTTCAAATTCCTCCCTCTATTTCGTAAATAAATGACTCGGGACAATAGGGTTTAAGATACCTACCCAAAAATATAAATGTTTCTTTTCTTTCCATCAGTATTAGGAAGTGGGATTTACATATCCTCACAGAGTGTTCATTTATTTTAGCTGGTATAGCTAGTGAATGTTTCAACATCAAACTTTTTTTATTTGAAGATGACAAAGTCTACCTTTACCCGCAGAAATCCTGCACATTACAATGAGAAACTCAATTGTATCATTGACAGTGCATTGGAAATATCGATATTTCATGATTGTAAAGTCTATGTCTTCATTGATTGTCCACACGAAGCCTTCACTTTCAAATCAGTGGAAGACCGCCTCTGGCCACCCCCGGACCAATTCCTGGTAAGTCATAATACAGGTCAACTTTATGCTATCTCTCTTACAGGAAGCTCTTCTTCTAGGCCTCTACTGACGCAGTTGTACCTTTTAGGAAAAGTCTAGGCCGCGAATGATCAGAGTGCATGGCCCTGACCTAGTATGTTCACGTCTCTCTGAGTCTGAACGAAAAGAGTTCATCCAACTGCTGCTTTTTTTCTTTTACTTGGCCTGTCGCTGGAAATTGCCTGCCCATATATATGCGCCGGAGGAGCAGAATTGCTCCAGCCCAAGTGTGGAAGGAAGTAATAATCATGAGCAATATGAGGGAAATACATACGGGCTTGCAGCTGAGAAGCTTGGTAGTGCAGAAAATGAACCAGCGGAGGGTAAACCTGATCATATGTAAATTGTTTCCTTGTTGAACCTAGCACTGTGGTAGCGACTGTATCCTTAATTTTTTCCTTTTTGGAAATAAAATAAAATGCTACTGAGTTTCACTAATGTTTATATTGATACTATGCCTATGCGTTACTGGAGTGAGATGCATCACGTGATTTATGTAGACCTAGCTGAGCGGGAGTGCATATATATATATATATTCCTCACATCGCTCAGGTTGAGGCACTGATTTTGTTCCTCAATTTCAACAATGACTAACAACACACCCTCTGATATACTTACTCTTGATATGGGACTTGTAGAGAACCCTTACTTTCTTACTATTATTGGCATTCTGCTACTATTGTTTATTTATTGGTTGGCCAAAAGCACTACACTACTTATCAACACCCGCCATTCCTGCTTGGGCTCAATGAGCCCCTACCATCTTTTCCTTCGATATTTAGCCTACCCAAGGACTAGCTGGCGGGTTGGAGGCCTTGACAATCTGTCGCCATTGCAAGCGGTGGTACTTTTACTCTATATTTCCGCCAACTGCGTTGCCAACTTCGTCTGGACGAAGTCTGTCTCAGAAAAGGGAACTCGTGCTGCTCATCTCTCCCTTATAAACCTGCTACCTCTATACTTCTCTGGTGGCCAAGAGTTTAGTGCGCGCCTTCTTGGGCTATCCTTAGAGGCATATGGAATCATCCACCGCTCTGCAGGTTTTGTGGCAGTCCTCCAAGCAACTGTTCACGTTATCATCTCCTATCAGGACATGGTCTTCGACGTATCTAAGCCAACAGATTTTTGGGGTCTTCTGGCAAGTTCATCACCTGCCTCACACTTATATCCTGTTGTCTGGCCCTTATTTCCGCGTCCTTTATTCATTACTCTCCCCTGATGTTCTACATACTATTCTACCAAATATTGGCTAACAGTGTATTAGGGAGGGTGTATGTTTTTGTCCCTCTTATTGCTGCCAATGGTAAAACGTCGAGTGTACGAGTTGTTTTTAGCCACTCACTTAACATGTGCTGTCCTTGGCCTCATCTCAATCTGGCAACATCTTAGATCGATGCATAATATGTCCCGCAAATATCTTCTGGCATGCATCTGTATGTTCTCAATTACTGGGGCATTTCAGGTAGCGCGCATTCTTTATCGGAATAAAGTTCTGGGAAAGAAAACAGTCCGGCTGGTCATGAAACCTTACACAGAAGAAATCGTGCAAGCTGTACTGTATCTACCTCGCCCGTGGGTGGTACGTGCTGGGGAGAGAATCAGTCTCGGGATACCATCACTAGGGCTGTTCTATCTGTTCCAATCTCATCCTTTTGCAATCACCTGGTGGGAAGATAATGGTGAAGGAGAAGCCAATTCCATCTTCTTGATGTTCCGGGCACGGACTGGCTTTACTCGAAAGGTCCTAAAATACATGGAACCGGACCGCGAGTACTGGGCTTGGATAGATGGACCATTTGGGCCATCCCCGGTCCATCACTACGGTCTCTCGAGAGAAGTAGGTGACTATGGACACATACTGATGATCACTACCGGAATCGGGATCGCAGCACAGCTTCCCTATATTAAAGAACTACTGCACAGGCGCCGCAACGCTAGGATAATAACACAAAAGATTACCCTAGTATGGCAACTGGATCGAACGGGTGACTGGGAGAGTGCTCGGGATTGGCTTCAGAACCTTGTCAAGCAAGACGATGGTTATGTATGAACCTATCATTCTCTCCATGTTTAGTGTATTACTGATTCTGACTCACTATAGATGTTAGAGGTTATGGTTTACGATCCTTCAAGTGTGGATAACCTCCAGGAGCCCCGAAAGATTGGCCACCACGATCTAATTGCATTCTATGGGGGTAAAGTGGAGTGGAAAGAAGTGCTCTCCGCCGAAATGCAGCGACAGTCTGGCAAACTTTTGGTGACGGGTAAGCGTTTTTGGTTGGATTCATTCAACTACCTACATACTGACAACTAGGGCAGTTTCCGCTCGGCGCCGTATTCGGGGCTTGGTGCGGCGGCTGGTGAGAAACAATGTATGGTTTGATGTTGAGCTTTTTGAGTTGGAATTCCAACCTTGGCAGGAGAAAAGAGACTGGTTGTCTTTTCTTACGCCTTAGGGGGTGACAGTATATTACTGTGGAGGAAACTTGTCTAGTCGAGATTGTAACTTACTGATTAAATTATATCCTAAAGTAAGATTCTATTATAACATCTCTGGAATCTTCATTATATATCTATACTAGAGAAAGGAGTAAGGCAATGCCAATTAAAATAATCTTAACAGATGGACATAAAGCAGGTCCCTCGCTTGTTATGGGGTTTGTCGGGGCTGTTGTCGGGAGAGGAGCAGAAACGGGGGCTGCAGTGACAGTGCCAGAGAACATGAAGGTTTGTTGTGGTATCTCACTGGTAGTTGACAGAAAGGTGATGGAGGTTATAGGTTCACCAAGCCTGTCAATAGCGGTTTGAGTGTTGCTTTGTGCAACCAAATGCAACAGAGAGCACCCATCTGTGCCCTCAGGCTTGAAGCCTTCTGCACTATCCTTTTGTTCATGTTCACGACTGCTATCCCAAAGGGGCGCTATATCGGATTTAGTTGGTAGGTCGGAAGCCCCTTCATCTAACATGTAATCTCTTGCGGGGCTTGTGGTGTTTGGGTAGTCGTGGGCTTGCTCCAAGCTTGTTCTGTGCAGTGTACTTGGGTAATGTGATCAGCAATGCATGAGCAAGAGAATGGTAATCATATCAGGCATACCACGAGTGAGAAGAGAATGTCCAAGGAGTATCAATGTGTAGTGTGATGGTGTTTGAGACAGCCATTGTTTTGAGATATATTGGTATACTGTTTGACCCTATGCAAGGACCCTTAATTTATAGATTCAATAAGTAATATAGCAGAACCCCATGTATAATGTACGCGTAACTGTATCTTAAGGCTCAACTTACCATCGTGTATTATAGAAAACTCGCTAAGTCCGTGGGTCTAACTCCGAACGGAGAAAATGCCGTTGGTGTAGCATTACTGGTGCCCCAGAGTCCATGGCTTTTGTATATTACTTTTTTGACAGAGGAAAAATACACTAAAGTAAAATAAGTAAAAGAAAAGAACAAAAAAAAGGAAAATACTTCCAGTATAAGGAACTGGTCTACTGGTAATGTTAACAGGTATTGTTGTTTATCATGAAAGATCTGGTGGTAATCTAATCTGGGGGGGAGTGTGTCCAGGCTGTCTGGAGGTGACTGGTGCTTGAACATGAATCATGAATTGATATAACCCCGTCTTTTATCAATAGGTGAGAAGTAGTAGGGACGACCAAACCTTATAAATACCATGGGCTCTCTACAGCTCTGACCTTCCCAAACACGTTCACTATCTTCAAAAACTATCTTTCTCAATCCAAACTATACTTTTCGAATCACGATCAAAAATGGCTCAGAACAATGCAGGCAATAGCACCCCAGCAGGTACTGGGGGTGACCCTGCTCAAACCGGCTTACCCGGTGCCTGGAATATTATTCTTCAGGAGGCTAAATCCAAGGGTACCTATCTTGCAATGGCGCAAGGCTTTGACTTTGGATCAGATCACATGCACGCCGCAACGAGCTTCTTCAAGGAGTTGAATGAAGACATCCGGAAGTACAATCTGCAGAATGGAGCAGACCAAGAAAGGGGTGTAATCCCTGACAGTGCATATGAGGCAATGTACAACAAATGGATCACGGCATTCAAAACATCTCAGTCTAACAATGATGCGGAAGCCGCATGGAGAGCATACGATGATGGATGCAAAGAGTTCTTATCATTCAATAAGCATCATAATTTACCTGACGATTGGATTCTTAGCTCCAAGCCCGTCGAACAGGCCTTTGGCGCCCGGCCTACTGATAATGCAGGCAATAGCACCCCAGCTGGTACTGGGGGTGACCCTGCTCAAAACGGCTTACCCGGTGCCTGGAATATTATTCTTCAGGAGGCTAAATCCAAGGGTACCTATCTTGCAATGGCGCAAGGCTTTGACATTGGATCAGATCACATGCACGCCGCAACGAGCTTCTTCAAGGATTTGAACGAAGACATCCGGAAGTATAATCTGCAGAATGGAGCAGACCAAGAAAGGGGTGTAATCCCTGACAGTGCATATGAGGCAATGTACAACAAATGGATCACGGCATTCAAAACATCTCAGTCTAACAATGATGCGGAAGCCGCATGGAGAGCATACGATGATGGATGCAAAGAGTTCTTATCATTCAATAAGCATCATAATTTACCTGACGATTGGATTCTTAGCTCCAAGCCCGTCGAACAGGCATTTGGCGCCCGGCCTACTGGCAGTGGCGGCGGCAATTTACCTGACGATTCGCTTTTTAGCTCCAAGCCCGTCGAACAGGCTCCTCCTACTGGCAGTGGTGGCGGTACTTTGCCGGGCATAACAAAAGGGAGCCCTGTATGGCATTTGATTATCTCCCACATGAAGCAAATGCCATATTGCCGTGAGATGATATCAGCCCTGAGTAGAATCGACTCCGACATGAATGTTGCGACAAAATTTTTTTCCCAGTTTAACCAGCAAATCCGCGCATACAACAAGGCGGAGGATGGCCATTTCCACAATGGGGGTACAATCCCAGAAGACACGTACAAGACGCTTTATGGCGAGTGGATGGCCGCTTTTCACAAGGCAAAGTCAGAGAATGACTTGGAAGCGGCGAGGCATGCATTCAATGAAGTGACCAGCAACTTCCAGGCTTTCAATGAATACCACGGATTACCCGGTTGGACCATTGGGAGTGGGCCTATTGACGAAGGTTTCGAACCTGGTGTGGTACCCAAACTAGAAAGAAATGGTGATGAGACTCTTCCAGATGTCCCACAGTATGCAGAGAGCGAAGCTGACTACTCCGATATAACCGACCTTAACGACCTAGAGGAGGAAGCAAGAAATGCTGCAGATTTTTCTGGAGGAGAGGTGCTCTACTGGTGGAAAAGAGGCGTTGGTTCCCAAGCCTTTGTGCGTTACGGCAAAGGGCGCTCTGCCACATACCGCGTCCGGGCTGGCGCCAATGTGGACTACGACCCAAGCAGTGTTCCCCAGGTCCTTGCCTCAGGTGCACTATCCACCGAGCCGGGTTCAACAAGTTCACGTGGCCGTCACAAAGTCAGATTCGCCACCGAGCTTGGTACACTCGATGAAAAATGGACGTATAGCAGAGACGATGTTCGCGCAATTGGGGGCATTGGTTGGAAAGTTGACGAGGATGATGAAGAAGGAATTGAACCACTGGACCTGCTCTGGCCAGAGGCGTACACTATTTATCCCCATACTCGGGCTCTAATTATATGGAAAGATGGAGTGGTTACGCTGGAAGACCGGTCGTTCCTTCGCCGTATCATCAAGGGGTCTAGCCTTCAAAAAGCCCGGGTTATCTACGAGCAGGCGCGGAAGCAAGAAATACGTTACCGGAAGTCAGAGGGGCTACCGTACCAGCATCTATTCGAGGAAAATCAGAGAGCAGCGGATATGACGGCGGAAGAAACGGAAGAGGAAGAGGGGGAAGAAGAAGGGGAAGGGGAAGATAATGTGCAGTTCACGAATGTCAGCGCCCAACCTGACCGTGGCGAATCCTCACATCCTGCCAGTGCTCGTCCCCCCAGTGCTCGTCCCCCTAGTGCTCGTCCCCCTAGTGCTCGTCCCTCCAGTGTGCAGCCAGGCTCGCATCCCGGCCGTTCAGGGACAAGCCAGGTTCGGATTGTTGAACCAACGCGCCAGCCTTCCGCACGGCCAACATCAAACCGTGGAACTCCTAGGTCCACACCAAAGAGTGTCTCAAGGGGATCAGCTTCTCAAGAGGAGGAGATTCGTTGGCTGCGGGAACAGCTGAGTATGTATGAAAGTGAAAGGAGGACCAACTACCAGACTGCCTATAAACAAGGAACGGGCCGGAGGTACAACCCAGTCTATGATGACAGATGGTCTGAAGACTCTGAGTTCACACCACCGCCGCGACAGCGTCGTCGACGAGTTCAGACAGGTCACGTTTGGGACAACTGGAGCGGAAGATGGATTTCTACTAGGAGAGTGAACTGAAATTGCTTACCTATTGCATTCGGCCATGGGATATTTCATCTTGACGAGAGCCTAAACCATGAGATCACTCATTAAGTTAATCTGTTATACTTCAGAGTTTTCTTTTATTCCTTAACTTTCAAGCTGGATAACTTTCTACGTCATTCTTTTTTCCTTACTCCTTTCAGAATAAGTTTCATGTTGATACACTTCTCAGGTATCTTATGTACAGATATCTGGGCTTGAATATGGTTGAGTTGTTTACTGTTTTCTATGCACTAGCTTGTTCTACTTTGTATATTCCTTATCTGTACTTAAACTTCTAGAAAACCAACTATCGTCACTCGTTTAAATATTGTCTAAACATTCATAGAATATCAAGAGTCACTTAAACTGAACCATACAATGGGGTCATACCAGTGGAGAAGCTTTCTGTTATATAGCTGCATAGTGGAAAGCTATGAACCGCATGCCCGAGATAAGAAAGACATAGTAGAGAGGGGGTATCGCCTAGAACAGGGGGTTTGTATTTGGTACTACAGCTATCCATGTATTGAATTAATTGTAGGTTCTTTGCTCCCGGGATTAATTTATTTTGTTGACTTGATTTAGTCTCACCACCCTAGTAAGTTACAAGGCTGGTAATTTTCCCTGGTATGTATTAGAATCAGGGGGTTATTATTACGTTTATTGTTGATCTGCAAGCTATAAAGTATGGCTTCCCCTGCTTGTAACAAGAAATATCATCCTCATCCTCAAGGCATTGGCAACATGGAGAGAACCTGTAGTGCCCGAGTCGGCTTACATTCCTTACCGAATGAGCTATTAGTGATCATTGTCCAAAAGGGAAAGGTGAAAGGTTTCTTAAAGCCTCTATCACAAGTCAGCAAAGTTTTCCGCCAACTCTGTATACCTTTTATGTTTAACACCCTTCGAATCACAGCCTCCACAGCAGGTCTGAATTGCCTGACTCAAGCATCACAGTCTCTAATCAGACCATACGTGAAAACGATTCACTATGAGGTTTCTGAACTCATTGATCCACGTAAGTTGTCTCACTGGGATTATTATGAATATGGAAGAGCTAATAGTTCCCGCTTCTCTCAGTTGCCCAGAATTGGGATACCTTTCGCACCTGTATCTATCCTGTTTCTGAATATACCCGGGACCGAAAAGAGCGTTGGTCGATGTTAGGAGGCCGTGATGTCTCATACTCGACGGTATACTCGTACTTTTGCGCCCGGTCACAAGAACAGCAGGCTATTATTCGGTCTGGCCATGACATAACGGTACTCTGCGCGTCGCTCTCTTCGTTCCCGCAACTTGATACGATCCTGCTTCGATTTGAGGACAACATTGAACTACCATTCCACTGGCTGGCAGACCGAGTGCTGTTGGACGGCCAGCTTTCCTTCCTAGATCAATTACGGAAAGTGGCCACAGCAATAAAAGCAGCTAAGGAATACGGCATTTCTATTCATACATTTGAAATATCTGGATTTGATCCTCAGTCACTCTCACAAGAGCCACACGAGTTGGATCTATTGACTGATGCTCTTACTGATATTCAAGAACTACGGTTAGAAGACAGTCCCGCCCTCTTGGGGTTCTTTACCCGAAGTCCACTACCGTCTCTTCGACGGTTTGAGTTAGGCAGCTATTGGATGTCCGCCACAGAACTCAGGGAATTTGTCTACGCCCATGCCAATACACTGAAATATCTTCATCTGGAAGACATCTGGCTTCTGCGAGAGAAACGCGAAGAGGATTATGTTGATCTATTACTAGCGACTACGGAAGCGATTCTTGAAAGCATAAGGGACATTCGGCGCTCAGGTATTCTACACGAGCTTACTATGAATAGACAGGCCAATGGGGGCTGCGAGATACGGGAGCTATTGAAGTAAAGAGTGGATCGACTATACGATTGAGCGATGGAATTAGAATGCTATGGTACATGTTTCTCTGGGGGCAGTATATTCACTTTCAGTACAATAAAACTACAATATGATCGCTTCTCGTAGAAAATAATTCACATAGAGAAACTCTGAGCTTTCAAACATGTAGTTAGATCATTACTTGGTTGAAATCTAAAGAGTATAGAACTATATCTATTATTTCTCTTTTAGTTCATGGGAAGCTCGCGGATCCACCTGCCAAACCAACACAAACAGCTCTGAAGGTATATTCATAGGGGAAGCAAAGACAGTCTTTTACAAAACCAGAATGATTGATTTTTAGCTTGAGCCATATAGTAGCTGTAGTACCAGTACCATCAAGCAATCAAAGCAAGTTTTATCCAAAATTCCAGACACTACATGTAATTTTGGTACTTCTGCGACTAGACAATAATCAGCGACAGTTGTGGCATCATGTAACTTTGGTAATTTTCCAGGATATGTAGGAGACTGTAGAGGATGCTGCGCTTGGGATAATGCCCCTTAGAGCTCTCTAGCCACATGGGTGTTTACCAAATCGGTGTTTCCGGATAGGGTCAACTAAAATAATGACTGACGCTTACTTATTGTTTCGTACGGCAGTCTTTTAAGATACGGTAAATAATAATTTTGCGGTCATGAGTCCTGCTTTGTGGGGTTGTGTAAGTTACCAAGGTAAGTAACCCTTTTCCCATGGGCATTCTTTTCTTACAAGGGTAAAGTTTAATTTTACTAGCTGAACCTATAAAGTTAGCATATATCAGCCTAAAGTAATGTAACTTAGAAAAACAAGCTAAAATGCCAACCTGATTATTTTCCTACGTAATATCTAGCCCCAGGACTTTCCAATAACTAAACGCCGCCTTCCTTAAACAAATTACACTAGTTGAATGCTCAGAGAGGGTCATTCTCAAAATCAGCCTAACCTGTCACCTGACTGGGGTAAAACAAATTGTTCATACATAGCCTATTCAGATATCCCAAGCCCTCCATTTCGACAGAGGTTAGAAAATAATAGTCTCCAATAGAATACAAAGATATTAGCCTACAGTGCCTGGAATCCTATAATAATGACCCGCCCGTCATGATACCCTAGAGCAAGTGTGGTGTCCATGACAGCGAAGCAATTAAATGAACGATACTCGGCAGGGAGCCACAGTAGATTCTCACCATCCAAGGTAATCCAAGCATTCGATAAAGATACCTGAACTTTGCAATTGGATTTGCTCAGCACTGAGTTGACATCACTTGGATGGCCCTCTAATGTCTGCCGCTGCGTGCCTGTTGTGGTATCCCAGAGCTTAATAGTGCTATCGTTAGAGGCCGACGCTACTGTAAGCCCATCGAGAGAGAAGGCCACTGAATAGACCCTACTTGAATGGCCCTCTAATGTCTGCCGGTGCATGCCTGTTGTAGTATCCCAGAGCTTGATAGTCTTATCGTTTGAGCCCGATGCTATTGTATGTCCATCGGGAGAGAAGTCCACTGAACAGATCCATTCGGAATGTCCCCCTAGTGTCAGACTGTGCGTGCCCGTCGTAATATCCCAAAGCTTGATAGTATTGTCGCTAGAGCCCGATGCTAGTGTAAGCCCATCAGGGGAGAAGACCACTGAATTGATCCAACTTGAATGGCCCTCCAATGTCTGCCGGTGTGTGCTCGTCGTGGTATCCCATAGCTTGATAGTTTTGTCGTTAGAGCCCGACGCTAGTGTAAGCCCATCAGGAGAGAAGGCCACTGAATTGACTGAACTTGGATGGCCCTCTAATGTCAGCCGATGCGTGCCCGTCTGCCGGTGCGTGCCCATCGTGGTATCCCAGAGCTTGATAGTGCTATCGTTAGAGCCCGACGCGAGTTTACATCCATCGGGAGAGAAGGCCACAGAATAGATCCAACTTGAATGGCCCTCTAATGTCTGCCGGTGCGTGCCCGTCGTGATATCCCAGAGCTTAATAGTGTTGTCGCTAGAGCCCGACGCTAGTGTAAGCCCATCAGGAGAGAAGGCCATGCAATTGACTATATTCGAGTGGCCCTCTAGTGTCTGCCGGTGCGTGCCCGTCGTGGTATCCCAGAGCTTAACATTGTTGTCGATAGAGGCCAACGCTAGTGTAAGCCCATCAGGAGAGAAGGCCATCGAACGCATCCAACATGAATGGCACTCGAATGTCAGCCGGTGCGTGCCTGTTGTGGTATCCCAGAGCTTGATAGTCTCATTGTTAGAGCCCGACGCTAGTGTAAGCCCATCAGGGGAGAAGGCCACTATATAGCCCTCTAATGTCTGCCGGTGTGTGCCTGCTGTGGTATCCCAGAGCTTAATAGTGTTGTTGTCGCTAGAAGCAAACGCTAGTGTAAGCCCATCGGGAGAGAAGGTCACTGAATTGGCCCAATACGAATGGCCCTCTAATGTCTGCCGGTGTGTGCCCGTTGTCATATCCCAGAGCTTTATAGCGTTATCTTCAGAGCCCGATGCTAGTGTTAGCCCATCAGGAGAGAAGGCCACTGAACGGACTGAATCTAAATGACCCTCTAATGTCAGCCGGTGCGTGCCAGTTGTGGTATCCCAGAGCTTAATGGTGTTGTCGCCAGAGCCCGACCCTAGTGTAAGCCCATCAGGAGTGAAGGCCACCGAATAGACTGTACCCGAATGGCCCTCGAGTGTTTGTAGGCTTGGGCTCCAAGAGTCTTCCACCACTGGTAGCCTCTGTATCTGTTTCAAAATTTCACCATAAAAAGCATTTTTGATAATGCTCTGTACAGGTGTAAACACCAGGCCCGAACTGTAGACTTGGAGTGGAGCAATACTAGCTATGTAGGAGTTTTGAAGAGTAAACCTTCTTGTGTCATAAAGAAAGGTTGACAGCTCGGCTCCTATACTCGTCTAGAATATGCATCAGCAACTGCCCAATTGTAGAATTCATAGGGACTTACCCATGCGCTGAACTCCAGTATATCTATCATTCCTAAGGCGTCAGATATACTTCCAATTAAAGCCAGTGCCTCCAACCAGTGAAGGAGCCGCTTCTTGAGGAAACGAAGAATTTCAGATTCAGAGATGCGACCTTTGCTCTGCTTAAGATGATACACCCAGTAGTGGCAGGAGTATTGCAGATCAGCTGTGAGGTGTTGATTGATGACCTGAAGGTCGATATCCTTGCGCTGTGTTCCGTAGCTTGCTAGACCACATATGTTGTGTTTCAGCTTAGAGTCCATGGCGCGAAGGCAATATGATGCTATTTTCTCATGCGTCTCCCCCCCAACTACATGGAAGTGACCTTTAGTGTTAACAAGAAAATCTCGAAAGGAGATATGCAGTATACGGACCGGCGCATCATGATTATCCGGGATATTCAGAACTGAATGAAATCTATTCAATCGATTGCTGATCTCATCCTTCGACATTTAGCTGTGCAAGAGCAACCACCGAAAGAGGGGTGGCAAGAAGAATAATAACACCAATTATATCCTGAAACTCTTGCAAGAGTAGCATGAAATCACTCTGATCCTTAGAAGCAAAGAGTTGATTTAATACCGGTAGATATGTTCTGTCCATATCAGATATTGATATTGCTGCTTCATCTTCGAGGATGGCTAGAAGACGCTTTTCTGGAAGCCAGTCTCTATCCCCAACAAAACGGCAAATAGTGGCCGCGAAAATAAACAAAGGGAGAGCCATTTTCACTAGCTTTTCTATATTTTTATTTCCAGGCCACTCTGGGGAAAGTGAGCGCTCAATCCTTATTTCTAAAAGTTTGTGTTCCAGGAAGAGGCGGATATCATGTTCAATCACTGGGGCAGGAAGTTCATGGAGAAACAGGTCTTGGTGGTTCTTATCCTGCTTAAATCCAAGGCGAATCGGAAGTTCCGGTCTGCTGGTCAGGAACACTCGCAGATGTACAGATTTAATTTCCTGCAACTTGAACAAGAGTCGAAGTACCACGTATATATCATTTTCCCCATCACATTCGTCCAAGGCGTCAATAACTATTACAATCGTTGTAGGTTGGTCCAGATGCAGCTTCATGAGAGGTTGATAAAGAAGCTTGTCAGACTGTTCACTGAGAAATTTAGATGCGATATCCGGATCATTCTTAATGGCGTTCAAGACGTCAGGCACCAGGCACCGGTGCCTAGTTACCAACTGCCTCGTAATAGTTGATATTAAGTATTTCGCGTTACCACGGTCAGCTTCACCCCGCTTAAAGAAGAAAGTGGCGCCAAGCAGTCCTTGGTTTTTAAAAGATTGAGCAACCGTCCGGGCAATTGTAGACTTCCCAGTCCCCGCCATTCCATTCAACCAAAAAATAAATTTACCATCTGACTCAGCCCACTCCAAAATTTGGCGACAAAGGTCTGTCCTGGTGCCCCGGAGGCAAAAGTCCTCATGTTGATTGAGATAAGAGTCGTAAGATGCTCCATCCGCGACATGTAGGTTGGCAAGGCCAAATTGTTCAATAAGCAACTTCATGGATTCAGATAGTTCATCAACCCTGCGTAGAATGTTCTCTGCGTCTTCTTCGCGGTGGAGATATTCTACTAGTTCAATCCACCTGCGCAAATTTTCCCTTTCCTTTTCGACCGAGGCTTTGAGCTCAGTGAGCGGGTGTTCAGTAATGGCAATAACACAGTCTAGTAGTTTCCGTCCCTTGCTGGCACCCTGGGCCTTCTGTACCAGCGCCGTAAAGTGGAGGATAGCTGTGTAGAGCCGGACCAATGTCTTTCCCATGTCTTCCTGGATACCGGGGCTGCCGTCACGATAACATTTTTTTTCAACATAGGCACACAGCGTAATAATATCCGCCAGGTATTCTGATGATTCGAACAGGGCATCTCGTCGATCGACATAATTTTTAGTCATCTACACTTCCAATCATGGAGTTAGTTAGCTAATTTTATACTTTCCTGGTAGGTATTATATACTGTTAACCCCAGTGATACAATTGCCCAAGCACTAGCTGCATGCTGAGTAGGGTCAAAAGCCGCAACAGCGCTGATAATATCTTTGAATGATAGAGCTGCATTAATTATTTTCCTGGAGGATATCCGAAATGTTCCACTTGCTTTCTGCTGATATTCCTCATAGTCCTCTTTTGTCAAGTGAATAACCTCATCAACCAAAACTCTCGTTTCAGCCTTGTTTTCCTTATCAGCCAAGTTCACTGTAATTTGGATTGCCGACAGGACACTTCGCTCCTCCTCATCCAGCTGGTCATAGGCCTTCTGCCACAAGTCCAGTGGCCTGAAGGGCTCTGTCGACTGGGTAGTCTGGATAGTGCACTGGCCGGGAGAAATTCGTAGTGGAACATTGGTTGTGCTGTCTTTTTTGACCTTTGCTTGGCTTGCCAGAGTTTTCACATTACTAGGGCCCTTGTGTCTGCGAAATAGATTGTATGATAAGCCCTTTCGAAGCCGGTCCATTTTTAACTCTTCACAATACATCAAAACTATCAGCAGTTGAGACTTCTGGGGAAGGTGAAGCCGGCTGCTATTATTATTTTCCGGTCCGCAACTGTACCCCGCCTTTCGATGTGTTGGCGCAGCTGAACAGCAGGGATATAGTGACCATTATTGGCCAATTACATTCCCTGCAGAAGATGTCAAGGGAGGCAAGAGATTGCCAAACAGCCATTTTCCTTCCAGCCATCATAGTAAATGCTAGGACAGATCGATGCATCCCTTAGCTTTTGATAAGGAGGCCGTTCAGTAAGAGTGCGGTTCCTAGATAAGTAAACCCAGAAAACATCACTGTGAATCAGCTTGGGGTGATCCCAGGCTACATCGCTCTGCTTGAGCTTACATCTGTTAGGCCACTCGACCTCCCTGTCCCCTTTTGGTCCGGTAAAATACAGAAGAACTAGAAATGATATGTTGAGGTATTTTATGTTACATACTTGGACAAATAATATTATAGATAAGTATTTCAAAAACACTTAGTGCGGTTTCACGTTAAGGTTGCTAAAACAATTAAAGAGTATAAGGGATAACACCAGTGTCTGGACACCCAGTATGTAGTACACATGGTCTGGAGATCCTTCATTCTCTGTAGGTAAGCCACCTGTTGATTCTAAAGTATTTAAAAAAGGCTTTATCCTGAAAAAAATATAAACTTATCAATAATCACAACACCGCAGCCAAATCTCATAACCATCACAAACCAACCCCTATCCTATCTCTCAACTATCACATAACAACCATCAAAATGCTCTTCAGCACCGGCCTTGCCTCTAGCATCGCTCTTGCCATGGGTAACCCCGCAGCTTCCGCCCCTCAGGATGACTCCCGTTATGTCCAGCTGCGCATCTATAGCGATTTCGGCTGTTTTGAACAGAATCAGGGAGAGATGGGAATCTATGGTGACAAACTCAACAAGTGCCAGACCTTTGGCACCACCACTGTTAAGTCTGTACACTTTGAGTACATGCTGCATGATAACTGCACCGGTAAGTATTTCCTTCATTTCTATGTTTCGAATTATTCTTTTTTGTTGTTTGCAATCTCTGTCTGCTGTCGGAATATACTAATAAACTACTAGTGGCCCTCTATAATGACGTTAACTGCCACCTTAATCGCTACAATGTTGAGATTAATTCTTGCTTAACTGGTGACAAGGAGTATAGCAGCTACTTTGTTCAGTGCTAAGCATGGCATATGACCTTGTATTTCTTCTTCATATATATCAGGAAGTATAGTCTTCATTAAGCCTGCACTCATCGGTTTTAACCTCGTACGGTAACCGACTCCGCAGCTCAGAAGCTGATTCTCCATGGTTACATCAAGCCGTACCGTACTCGTTGAGTTTATAAATGTCAATTTGATCTCACTTTGTTTCTTCTCTATCCCCATTTCCCTCATTTGTTTCTCTTTCTGCTATTGAAAACGGGCGTAGCAATATCTGTGTATTATCGCTAGGGCTGGCGGGTTATAGCACCGCATACACCTCCTATTGGACCGTCCATGCTTGAAGTATTCATCTCCGCATCCTTTTTAGCGGAGGCTGCTCCATATTGACATGAGCTGCGGCAGCTTGTCGTTTCCCTGTATGAGCATCATACTTTGATATGTAGTCTTCTAATACCTCCTTCGCGAGCCCGGTGCTCCTGTTCTCCAAGCATATGGCCTTTTTGTTTGACCTACGAGAAGAAGGCGCCTGTTAGTGGTCTCTTCTACCAGGTCTTTAAGCCTTGGAGATATTATCTTGTCATCTTTAATGATAAGAAAGTAGTGATCCCGGGAAAGATCATTGATAGCCAGCCGCATCGCCATATTATCGTCAGTAAAGAACTTAATGTATTCCCTCGAACAGAAGAGGAAGAACACAACCAGATTAGGCGCCCCTAGATGATCCCAATCTGATAATGTCTGGCTAGCTGTATAATGACGAATGGTGATTGGCATTCTTTGAGAGACAGGGGCTTTGCTAAGTTCGTCTTCAAAACCAGCCGCTAATGGAGCAGTCCGCGTGACATCTATTTCACGGTGGGGAGGGCCAGGTAGATGTTGTTCCAGTGGAATAGGTGTAGAAAGCTCAGTGGAGCATGGAGAAAGGTTCTCTGCCGCCTTATCTATCAGACTGAACTGCGGGCAGCCGTCCTGCTCTCTCAGCCCGCGCAGTTGCTCTTCTTCTGTAGTCCTATGGCGTTCAGGTTCTAGAGCCGGTATAAGGGCTTGAGTGACTGAATGCTCCACTCCTGGTGAATTTGATGCACTTTGTTCATCGGACAAGGCAAACAGAGGCTCCCTACCAAAGAACGAACAGAAAATATCCCGGATTACTGCGAACGAGCTGGGATGAAGTCGCCCATTCTGGTCGGATCCATATACGTGTCGGAGAAAAAGATAGGAGCGATCACTAGCATACTCTTGCCTGAGCGGTCGTCCGCCCCAGCAGCTGGGCTTCAAGGTATCCGAATCGTGATAATATTGGTGGCTGCTGAGGTTGGTTCCTCCCAGACAAACCAAACGCTTTCCGAAACCTCCTCGCAATAAAAGCCACTTTTGAAACCACCCTTGTATCAATATCTTTTCCACAGCCCTCCAACAGTGTCCCGAGCATATAGCGGAGTGCAGGCATATTCAGGTCAGCTTCAGTGAGACTGCTCTTCGAAATTCGGAAGCCTAGTTTCTCCGCTGATTTTGCGAGTTCCGCTTGACCACACATGCTGAATAAAGGCTGAACACTTCTTTGAGCTCTTTGTCGACCAATGCGAGGGTCAATGAAGTAGCGGAATGCTACTAGCCAGAGCTGCAGAAAGCTAGACCATGCAATTGTTCCCTTGACCCCCTGTGGACGAAATTTGATATTTAATGGTTGTTTTTGGTATTCAGTCTCAGACACTTGGATTACCTGACTTTCGATCTGATCATCCCAAGATACAAGAATACCATCGTAAACAGATGAATTGGCGTCTACTTTGGAAAGGGCCCGCAGAGATTTCACGGGGCCGGCGAGACAGCGGGCAACCTCAAAAAACAGGGTCAACGAGCATATACGCCCTTTAGTGCCGAGCAAGGCTTGGAGCACCCTCTCCCTTTCAGCAGGATCGGAGAGATGTGGGAAGAGAATACCATCATTCATCATACAAGAACTCTGCCATCTCATCCAAGTACAAATCCGGCTTCTCTAGTAGGTGGTCGCATAGCGCTTCGAGCATAACGGGCATGATCACACGAGGGCGGCCGCCAGGGATTAAGGGCGCTCGGACATCGCCAAACATTCGGAGATTGGCATTGATGGTTATGATCGAACATTTGCCGTAGCCAGCTGCTTCCGTAATTTGGGAAGTAGTCAGTGATTTGCTGCTGATCATATCACGCATCACTAGCTGGGAGGGTGCAAGTCGTGGCGTTATGATGGTCATGTTGCCCGGCTAATGAAGTTGATGAGGTGGCCAGGGACAGGCAACGAGATGGGTCTGGGTCGGTTTGAGCCGAGAGTTGAACTGACAACCAGGCTTGTTTGACCAGTCATTGCTTCAGCCCTATTGCCATGAAAAAGCATAATTAGTCATATTGGCTTGTGCAGTGCATGGACCTTCTGTCACAGTCTCAAGTGCAGGACATCACTTACCCCGCTTTTGCTCGCCAGAAAAGCCCAACCTATAACTTCAACCTGATGACTTACGCCTAGCTTGAAACATGGGCGCATTTTAATGGACTTTCGTTTTAGTCATAAGCGCTCTGCTTCCCCAGACTATGGAGCCTGGGTCGGTTTGGACCGACAGCCGAACTGACAACCAGCAATTCAAAAGCAGTGGGCAGATATGGGAGGCGCTTGGCATAACTATGAAATATGATTGATTTGCTTTAAAGCACCAATGATAAAGTGCATCCTTCACTCAGCCTCGCCTCTAGGCTGTGTTGGGGGGCTTCCCCTCTTTTCCCTTAAACTGGCAACTTCCTCTGTTCAATTCATCCTCGCGGTGTTCCCGTCTGTCTCAAATAATACTTGACCCAGCGAGGAAACTTTCCAATTAAATATTGAACACAACCGAGATAAAGTGGAAGCCCTCTACTGCTTCAATGAATCGATCTGAGCAACGAGACCCTGATACCACAGTCTCCTACACGGTCGCATGGATCTGTGCCTTGGAAGAGGAGTACTTCTGTGCATGCCGTATGCTAGACGAAGAATTCGCTGGTCCGGAAATAAGCGAAGACAACGACGATAACACATATGTCTACGGTCGTATCGCGAAGCATTATGTGGTGATTGGGTGTCTCCCAGCTGGTCGGTATGGCACCAACTCAGCCGCTCGCGTTGCCCGAGATATGGTCCGGACCTTTCCACGCCTGCGGTTCGCATTAATGGTGGGCATCGGGGGCGGCGCACCAAGTCCCCGCAATGACATACGACTGGGTGATATTGTCGTCAGTCAACCAAGAGATGGATTCGGTGGAGTGATTCAATATGATTTGGGCAAGTTAAAAAATGGTCATTTTCAGAAGACAGGTCAACTGAATGCACCACCTGAGAAACTCCTAGGAGTCCTTCCAGAGATACGCCGATTGTACAGTGATAAAAAGAAGCCAGACAGACTTGCAGAACATCTTCGACTTCTTGATGACATGGAAGATTATCAAAAGCCGGCTGTTGATCGGCTTTACGCTGCAGACTACTCACATGTGGATGGACCAGGTTGCGATGGATGTGACTTGCGTGCAATAGTGGACCGCCCCGAGCGCCAGAACCACCGTATCGTCCATGTCCACTACGGAACTATTGCGTCGGGAAATTCCGTTCTGAAGGACGCCAAAGTGCGGGATACATATGCCCAAGACCCACAGCTGAACATTCTTTGCTTCGAGATGGAAGCAGCCGGTCTCATGAATAATATTCCATGTCTAATTATTCGCGGAATCTGCGATTATTGTGACTCCCACAAGAATGATGAGTGGCATAATTATGCTGCCCTTGTCGCTGCTGCTTATGCACGAGAGCTCCTAATGGTCTTACGGCCGCAACGTGTGGATGCCATGCCCCCATGGGCTGAGCGAGTAGCTCAAGAACTTCAACAAGGTTAGAACACCACACTCAATTTCAACACTCATATAGTATTTCCATGGCTTGACATTGCAATAAAAGCACTTTATGAATAATCTTCATGTCCTATATTTCATCGGGGTAGTGTACCTGACGGGTTACAGTTACTCAGGAGTTAACTATTCTTAGCAACAACCAAAGGTTGTATACATATCTACCGCATGGGTTAAATACACTATCGCTTACTCTAAATAGGACCGCCCTGACGAAAATCGAACATATAGACCAGAAGATTGGGCTAGACAAGTTGTCGGCTATTCAGGAGGCTGAATTTAACTCATTCTCTGATCGAGATGAGATCCAATGTCTTCAAGGCACAAGGACTGAGCTCCTCCAACAGATAAAGGAATGGGCTACTATGCCATCTCAAAAAAGCATTTTTTGGTTAAAGGGAATGGCTGGGACAGGGAAATCTACAATATCTCGAACTGTGGCACGGTCACTTAAGGACACCAACCGTCTTGGTGCCAGCTTCTTTTTTAAGAGGGGTGAAGGGGACCGAGGGAACGCAAAGAGATTTTTCCCTACATTAACCAGGCAATTGATGCTCCGGTACTCTGGGTTGGTTCCTGGTGTGCAAAAGGCACTTGATGATGACCCTGGCATTGCGTCAAAATCTCTCAGGGAGCAGTTTGAAAAACTGCTTCTTCAACCGTTGCTTAGTCTTGGCCAACCTAGCCAACAAGCTCAGACTGCTGTGATAGTCATCGATGCTTTGGATGAATGTGAACATGATCAAGATATCCGAAACATTATTCAATTCCTGCCTCTTCTACAAAAGGCGAAATCAGTTCACCTTCGGATTTTTCTGACCAGCAGGCCTGAACTCCCAATTAACCTCGGATTTTCAGAGATCGGAGATCGTGCATATCAGGACCTAGCTCTTCATGAGATACCCGAAGAAATGACTGAACGTGACATACATTTATTCTTACAAGACCGATTTACGAAAATCAAACACGATAGGAAAATCTTCCAGGACTGGCCTGGCAATGATGTCCTCCAAGAATTAGTCAGGATATCCGTTCCACTGTTTATTTCGGCTGCCACTGTGTGCCGCTATATTGAAAACTCCAAATTGGAACCCAAATCGCGCCTCGCAGAGCTTCTAAAGGACCAAGCAAAATATATTTCGAGAATGGATAAGACATATCTGCCAGTTTTGACGCAACTACTCAACGACCCAGAGAGTGATGAGTCAGAACAGCAGCAACTTCTACAAGAGTTCCAGGATATTGTGGGTGTCATCATTCTTCTTGCAGTTCCGCTTTCTATATATGCACTATCGCAGTTCCTTGGGATAGAAGCGGACAGGATTAGCAATCGATTGGATTCACTTCGTTCGGTTTTAAGCATTCCTGATAACCAATATCAGCCTGTTAGGATTCTGCATCTCTCATTTCGGGATTTTTTGGTCCAGTCTACAACCAAGTTTCACGTGAAAGAGCCACAAAAACACAAAGATATTGTTCGGTCCTGTCTTAGAACTATGCGGAGTCATCTACGCGAAGATATCTGCAATCTCACAGACCCTGGAGCGCTCAGGGAAGACATCAACCCTCTTAATATCCGCCAATGTCTACCACCGGAATTGCAATACTCCTGTCGCTACTGGATATACCATCTCAAAAATAGCGAGGCTTCACCTTCTGAAATAGTAGAGGCGCAACTATTCCTCCAGAAGCATTTCCTTCACTGGATAGAAGCAATGAGCCTGCTAGGTCTTATATCAGAGGTGGTGGGTATGCTTGATCTTCTCCGCACGGCTATACCAGTGAGTAAATACTATACATTCGTCCATGCGTTATACTAATATATGTAGGATGTTGATGATAATTCCGTTTTGGCCACCTTTCTATATGATGCAAAGCGGTTTGTCCTGAAAAGTCGTCAGATAGCGGATGAAGCGCCACTTCAGATTTATTGCGCAGGGCTGGTATTTGCACCTCGATCCTCAATCATTCGTAGGGCGTTCCAGTTATATCTGCCTAGGTGGATCGGCCAGTTCCCGCAGGTTCAAGAAACCTGGAGTGCAGAATTACAAACTCTGGAGGGCCATTCAGGCTCGGTTGAATCAGTGGCTTTCTCACCCGATGGCCGGCTGCTGGCGTCCGGCTCTCTCGATGAGACAGTGCGGCTCTGGAACACGGCGACAGGCGCCCTACAACAGACCCTGGAGGGCCATTC